TTTCTTTAATTATTTTTTATTAAAGAAACTGTTTTGACAGTTTCAAATTTAATTCATACTTAAGAAACTATTGTCTTCTTCGGTCTTGTACATTAGCATTGTACATTTTATTTATCATAAGTCTGGAGTGTATATATAATTCAATATATATATATTTATAAAATTATATATTCATTTTTATTTAATAACAATATTATAATTTTTTTTTGTGCACAAAAGGCAGTAAACGGGCGACCGATAACACCAACCCCAAACCCCGGCAAACTCCGCCGGACGCACGCACCGGATACGGGATGCGGATGAAGGTGTGGGCGGGCCCGGACTCCAGGGGGTGGAGGGTGGCTCCTTTTTTTAAGTGGAAAAGTGGAAATAAATTAAAAATGGGTGGCATCGTCGAGGCAGCGAGTCTCGAACGCGTCTGCCACACGACGACAACGACGCTGCCGGCTTTGGCTCTCGGCTTTTTTGGTAGGTAAAACTTTTGGATAAAACAGTTGAACTTCAAAATGTGAATTTGATTAGGATATTTGCATAAAATTCTGTTTCTGCGCCAAGTACACACTCCGCTTCACATTCTCCCCTCCCCAAGAGTTGATCATAAAAATCCCCTGAACACAAGCGGCGTTTCGGCTGGGGATCCGACCTGAGTTGGAGCGTATGTTCGCTGCCGGAAACGGAAGTATATAAGTCAACCTAGATTTGGTTTAGTAGCAGCTCTGCTGATACCAAGGACAAATGGCCTTTCAGTCAGGAACTTGCCGACAGCCGGGGTAAAAGTGCTTTAAGGATTGCATTATTTAACTTTGAAGCAAAGTGGTTGGTTAAAAGTAAAGGTACTGGAGCAAAATATGTTGAAATTTGGGCGGAGACACAAAATAATGGTGATTATTTATTCAGCATATAAACTACCAAGTTAATAAACTAGTAACAGTTAGAAAAACCCACTGAGTTATGATTTTATAGACCTTTTTTTGGTACTTAGCTAAGCTATTGATAATTTTCTCATATGTAAACTGGGTAGACATCATTCTTCACGACTTAGCAAATGGAAAACCATGTCTGAGAGTTGTCATCGTTTAAACCTCATTATTGTGCGATGTCCTTACGCAATCCTTACAAAACTCTTCTCCTATCAACGTCCCTTTATCTCTGGCTTATCCCGCCTTATAAACGCACACTCCCCGGAGCGTCACAATTAGTCTTGCCCATAACAGCAGCTAATAGTTTCGTAAATAGTTTTGGCCAATATTTACATGAGTTGCCTTCTGCCTTCTGCCTCTGCTGCTTGTTGGTTTTGTTTCTTCTGTCTTTTGTGGCCATTGTGAAAATATTTGTCTTCGAATGGCCCATTGTCTCTGGCCGCCCTCCCTTCGCCAGCCACTCAGTGAATACACTCAAAAATGTTTTCGTAAATTTCAGTAGAGAACTCAAAATCTAAGAAACATAAAGGGATCTTGTATATCTCACAAGGCCTTTGATACTTTTTAAATGGGTTTTCAAATTCGAATAAAATAAACTAATATTAATAATTATTGCAAAAATCCTATTATTTGTTATTCAAAATGTTTTCAAAAAAATGTTAGTTATCTATAAAACTCGAAGTGAACATTTTTTTTTTGTAAAGGTTTTTTTTCATGCTCTAGCAAGTGTTAAAAAAATTGTAGGAATATGTTAAAATTGAAAAACAATTTTTCTAAGTGCACACGCATCGCAGTGGTCGACGTCCATCGCTGACATGCGTCTGTCTCAAGCTCGTCGTCTTCCATCCGCTTTCTGGTCATATCTTTAGGTCTGCGTCTACGTCTGCGTTTCTATCTGACTCTACGACTGTTTCTGTATGGGTAAATGTATCTGTGTCTCCGCGTTTTTCTTGCCGTCTGCCTTACAAAACGTGTTCATTACAATCCGCCTGCCGTTGCTTCTGCTGCAGCCGCTGCCGCCGATCGGCCAAATGTGTCAGAGCTGAAACGTCATGATTAATGATGCAAACATGTGGGCCCGTCTCCGACTGCGACTGCGACTACGATTCCCAGTCCGGCTGTGAGTCCGGCTACCACTACCACTACGGCTTGACTGCGTTCAGGGGGCAGAGACAAAAACAGCCCGAGGACAGGGCAGGGCATGGGAATGGGACTGGGATTGGGAATGGAAATGGTAACATTTCATCAAGGTAAATTAGAAGACGAGACACCCAAAATGTAAACATCGAACTGGGCAACACTCGGACATTAGGCGAAATTAGAAATTAATCCTGCCACTGCGCCACAGATGGAAATACTTCCAAGGGGGGAGGGTGTGGGAAGGTCCCAGTCCGAAGGTCTGAGCGTGGGTAGAGCTCTTTTTTGTCTACTTCTTTTGGGGGCGGAACTTTAGAGGTCAGGATAAATTAATGGGAAATCCTCATGACTGACAAGCCGGAGTAATAGCATATACACATATCATAGATGATCTATCGAAAGAGGCACTGGAGTAAGAAGAGCAATTGAGGAAGTTTTAAATTATATTGCAAGAAGGATACCATTTATTTTTTTTAGGAAATTTCTAGTTGACTGCACCCTTAAGATTCCCTTTCGTAATTTCTATTAAAATAAGTCTGCCAACCATTAAATCCGTTGATGTGAAGAAGAATAACATTTATAATTTATACATATTTATATATTTGGTCTAACATTATCAACAAAAGGTGGACACATAAGTAAACGCTTTTCAGAACTTATAAACATAGAGCTCAATGACATAAAAAAAGAATTGCATGCCTGCAAGATATTTGATTGTTAAAAAGGGCTAAAACTAAGGGAAATAACTAAATGCTGAAAATAAATGACTCCACACGTGCAGTTAGTAACCGCTTTGGCTGACATGTATGAGCCCTATGTGACACATGGTGTCCTTCCAGAGTGGGTGTTGGTTATGTCCTGTGAAATAACCAACCCACAGCCAGCCAATTACAACACGACAATGCGCTGACCTCAACGCTGCTCCTGCCCACACATACACACACACACGTACAACCTTACGGCAGAGTGGTTACCGTTTTGTGGCTCAGCAGGAGTTGCTAGGTTGTAAGGGGTAACTTGGTGGCAGGAGCAGAGGGTGGGTAGAGCCAGCGATACAATAATTGCCCTGGGCCAGCGCCTCCGACCGCCGCCAGTCGTCAGTCGACATTGTTGCGGCTTAGCGTGAATTAAGTACACTAAAAGAAATGCTACGAATGGACAATCTCCATAAAAGTGATCTGATTTTATTACGATTATAAGGTTTGGCAATTACTCATTAGCTTTTCCCTTCAACTTAAACTAATCCTCTTTACACAGACTGATTTCTCAGATGACTCTTTACATTAATATAAGATTATATATCTACCGAAAATCTTTTCGAATTTTATATCTATCTCTTTTGACCTGAATTAACGCTATTAAAGCAAAAACAGAAACAAATTATAATATAGCTCAATTAATTCGCTGTTGTCATCCTGAACACAATTGTTAGAAGAAATGATTACGATACGAAATAATTTTAATTATATTTGATTCGATTAGATTCAATTCGTTAATACAAAATATAAAGTGTTAAGACCTTTGTAAATGTTTTGTTTATTTAAAAGAAGTAATAAAAACGTTTAAACAAGCGTTTTAGCAACACAAGTCAGAACTTTAAAGGCCGTGTTAACTCGTTTAATCTCTACCTGACTTAGTTCGTATCAGAATACTGTTGGCACCAGCAAACATAAATGTTTGAAATATTTACATACATAAATATCAAAGTATGCAAATCGAACAGTTCTTAAAAATAAACTATAGTTGGTTATACATAATGATCTCAGGACTACAAAACCCCCAATGCTAAACAAATGGCTTATTACACTTTTTTTTAAGTGCATAATCCAAAAAAAAAAAACGTGAGCGAAGAAAAAAGGCAGACCGACAAGAACCACTACCACTGTCTATAAAAAACCGCCATGTCATTCATTCATACTCGAGCTCAAAGCCATGCGATGGAATGGCCAGGTCGGAAAACCTGACATGTTCTTTTCGATCAGACAACGTCCACCATCAAGGGGCAAAAAAGTAATGCGACGAGGTGGGTGAAACGGGGAGACGGGGGAAGGGTATGTCATTGTGGGTATTCGGGCAAGTGTTGTGCGCGTGTGTGTGTGGAGTACCTCAATCATGTAATTATTTCCTCCGCAACAAAGCCCAAAAAGAGAGTGAGAAAGAAATGGCGGGCTTTGCTGGTGTGTGTGTGTGTGTGTGTGGGCCAACTTAAACTGGTAGCGTGTTTGCGGCTCTCTCTCTCTCCCTTTTCAGCAAACAACAAAAAACACGAACAAGATTGGTCTACATGTATTTCTTAAATTATATACACTCACACACACGAATATATAAAAACTTTCGTGTTTTGTTACTCAATTTAATTCAGGTAAAATATGTATTTTTCCCTCTCTGTGTTTCTTTATTTTCAGCGGTGTTTGCGTTGTCTTCCCTTCCACCGAAACCAAAAAAATAATATAAAATAAACCCAAACTTTGGTCACGAACATGAAAAAGCGACGTTTCCGTTGAACCGTCTCTAAAATGGTCGCCGCTTGATTGGCTCAGTTTTTTCTCAGTTTTTATGGTTCATTTTGGACTTACTCTAGATGATTTCGATACACAAGATGGTCGTCACAACTTTGGCAGATTTTTTCCACAGAAACGATATAGTAATTCGGCTAAGCAAATTTTCAAGGGAAACTGCTGAACAATAATTATAAAAATTCCCATTTTTCGTTTTGCGGCTTTTGCACAAATTTCTGTAGGCCGAACCGAAATTGGTATAATAAGATTTAATCAGGCTGCTGCGGTTTGGGCCCCCAAATTATGTGTTTACCTTGAAGAATCTCTCACAACGAATGCAAAATGTTTTTAATCTTTTTATACTTTCGGCCAATTCGAGAATTTTATGGTCTGTGGTTGCAAATATTGCGTGAGAAATTGTTTATTTGGCGGGGCAAGCACTTACTTATGGAGTTATCACCTGGAATGAGAAGAGAAAATATTAAAATTAAAATGGCGTATCAATAAAAAGAAATTTACAATTTTTATGTATTCGAATGTTATTAAAAGTGTGGTTTTCTGTAAACGCATAAAACTCTTTTACATATTAAAATTTGATTAAGATATCTGAAGTTTATATTGATACAATCATATCTCCTTAGTAATCAGAAAGCTGAAATTAATAAAGAATAAATGTATACACCAAAATTGTACATCTGTAATATATATTTTTCCAGTCAGCGATTTAAGGAAATGGTATCCAAAGTTGAAAAGTTACGATTTTGATCATAAACTTCATAACAAAGGAACGAATTCGTATTCTCAAAAATATCAATTGATTAGCCAAGTGCAACTATTTGGCATATATAAGAAAATTATTTGTAAACATTTTTAATACTAGGAATTTTTTTCTAAAAAATCCCATTAAAAATCTAATATTGTGTTTAATATTTGATCAGATTGCGAATTATAATTCCATTAATGTAAAAAAAAATAATTGTTACGTTTTGTAACACAGTGTTAAAATAAATACCTATTTGATTAAAAATTCTGCAAGCCATTACAGCCCTTTAAGTATTTTTTATAAACTCTGGAGTTTAATGGAAGCTTAAGCGTAAATGACATACTATACATCCAGATGCACGAAAAAAATCATTATGTGCTTATTGAGGTGTGTAAATATTTTAAGACTCCATTCACCTGCAAATGTGCATGCTTGGCTGCCTCAAAGTAAAGGACCTCAGCTTAAAGTATTAAGACATGATTTTTGTTTATCTTTTTTGGTGACAAAGTTGCCAACAACTTATGTGTAACTATATAATATTGGCTAAAAACTTTCTTTCTGGAAGTTGGTTCGTATCAAGAGTGGAAAATAATTAACCTCAAAGTTCGGTAAGCGGAAGTTTCCCAGCCGGTTTGACATGGTCAACACATGCAGCACGTAACGAGCGGTCAAGTGGCGGTACTTCCCGTCCCCACTTTTACCCGATCATGTCCTTCAACCTAGCTTCGTAATTGCGAAGTTTCGATGGCAAGAAATAAGGAGGAAATCCCTGCCAGGAAGGTCCCAAGGAAGCGCAGAACTTCTCTCACAAGTACAAGTCTATTATTCGAAACAGGGAGGAGGTTCAAAGTAAGGGGTTGTAAGGGGATCACGACGATGATGATGATGGGCAAAGGCAAATAAAACCATGCTGTCGGAAATAATAGCGTCTAGCCTGGAACTTAATTCCTACTGGGTTGGGTTCCAGTCTGTACCCCTCCCACTTCCCCACCCTTTCCTATCGAACTGCTGCCAAGTTTATGCAGTTTCATAAGCAATATTTGATATTTTTCGTGCAGCGGCAGCAGCTGCGTGATTAGCAAATATTTTTGTTTGATAATCAGCGAACATTCCCATTTCTATATGCAGCTGATGCGAAGCTCATGAATATGACTGGGCACTTTGTGTGGCCATTTCGGATATTTCTGTTCAAGATGGAACTGGCTTTAATGGGTGGAGCTGCAGTTACATCCGGCTGAAGCTCTTTGGGCTTTTCTTTTTGATTTATGGACATCACAAGTATCTACGTTTATGGCGAAAACATTCATTCAAAGGGTATTTTTCACGATATTATATTTTTAATAGTCTCAATACCTTGAGTTACTTTTAGAAATAATATAACAAAAACGTTTTCTTGTTATTTTTTTAAGTATCAAACATTTTTGCCTTAAAACTTGTAGACTAAATTTTTCCCACAATACACTTTCCCTTAAGTTCCACCTTAAAGTACCAAGTGACCCCAGTAGACACTTTCTAATCATACTCAAAGACCATTTACCTAATTGAAAAGAATGTAGTGAGCTATCTATCCATCTGCGAGTATTGTGTCTGTCCGTGAGTATTTTGCAGTCTAAAGTTTCTGTTTCGCTTGATTCCCTAGCCCAGGTTCGATTCAAGGCAACGGCTTGGACAATTTTCGGTGCGATTCCGCTCGGCACTGCCATGGCCATTGCCATTTCCATTTGGGGCTGCTCAGGGGCGAATTCGGCCTGACTGACAGGGAGTAGGTGTGACCGGGCTACTCATTCATTCTGACAGTTTTCCCACCCACTCTCGCACACGAAACGCAATTTGTTGTATTGTGGGCAGTGCCCCTCGAGCAGCAAGACACTCAGAAAAGAATGTAACCAAAAGTTAAAAATAATAAAAAGATTACTACTGGAGCAAAAGTTGTTTATAGGAAATGTATAAAACAATATTTTATTTATAAAGTTTGATAAGGAATTTTATTTAAAGGTTAACAAAACAAATAAAAAATAAAAGTATATTTTAAATTAATACTTAAATAAAGTCAAAGTCATTCCTCAAAAAACGGACTACATTATACATTAAACTTTTTGTTAAGCTAAAAGCATTAAAAACCAAACTGTAAATCAAAATAAAAACCTATAATTTATATTAATAGATAAACAACAATTTTAACTTGTTTGCTATTTTTCAGTGGAAAATATAGTAAAATTTACCAAATACTAAGGACAGAAGCTGTGGCTAGTTTCAAAATTAAATTCTGAGCACTCTAAAATTTTTCGGCGTGTAAAAGTACCACCACTTTAAATAGGAAAAAATAAAGAGAGAGACAGGTTTGCTTGTGGCGCCAAAAACATTTCTCGCAGGTCGCAAGTCGCGTGTCTCTGGGCTTTCATTTCATTTCTCTCTCAGTCTTTCTTTTTTGTTTTTCGGCTCTTGCAACTAATTTTCATTTCCAACAGAGTGCACCTTTCGCCGGCAGTCGAGGTGGAGAGGTGGGGCTGGGTGGAAATCTTATTAAAAAGTGAACAGAGTGCGATAAAATTGAATTTGCATTCAAAAGCCATTAACCGCAGCAGTCACTCAGCCTGCTATCCCCTTTGCACTTTCTAAGAATTTAAAAAAAAAAAACGCAAAGAATATAGAGATGGCGAAAAAATCCTTGAACTCAGCTTTAATGCCAGATATACAAGGTATTTTTCCAAATTTGTTTGAACCAAGGAAATTATTATTTTGCGCACATTTTGTTGACAGCTGTTGGCTATAAAAATCTATACGTGATATAGAGATATCAATAATTATTTTATATATGTGCTTGGTAATAATCATGAGTGTTTTCACTTGGCTGGAAAAATATTATTTTAATTGCATATCAATTTCACGCTCTTTAGTCTCCATAACACACCATTCCCCGTGGCCGCCATTCAATCAGCAGCGAAGCAACAAATTGTTCGAAAAGCCATTTGGCCAATGATCTGAACGATGCGTTTATAATAATCACCACCCACCGCGCACCTGCCCGTCCCCTCTTGTCCCCTCTTCGGCAACCTTCAACCACCCATTTCGAATTAAAGCTAAACGATTCGGGCTATTATAAAGCCCAGGGAACCATGTTGTTCGACTCCCACTCCCCTGATTTCCATCTCTCTTCACCTTTATGGGTTCGCCCTATTGGTTCATAATTGTCCCACTTATTGCTATTTTTATGGCATATTACATCTAGCACGTTCGGCTCCGTTCTGTTCCATTTATGTGAGCTGTGTACGAATTTCAATTAATAACTCCAAAAGAGTTGTAATCACCGAAAATAAATGTGTGCATCTTTGTCAATGTGCATGTGTTTACATACATTTTTTGGGTGTTCAATAAATTTAGTTTATTATGCGTAGCGAACCAGCCGCAATAAGGGACACACCTGGTAGACATTTTAAATTATACATATTTGCATGTTTAATTTTATGTTGAGTTAAAATGGCTAGACCATTTAATCAAGATAGTTTTTTTAATGTAGTTATGTTTTTAAATGGAAAATTAGGGGGAGATAATGAAATTAAAAATTCCATTGACGCCCACCAAAACTTCGTAAAATTAATTAAATTAAGTGGCAGTTTTTGGACATTGCCCAGAATATCCTTCCTCTTCAAATCTCGCTTTAAAAAACCATCCCCATCCCAAATGGCAACAGAATCCATCGATCAACGAGTTGATCAGATTGACATAATTATTGGTCTGCTGTATTGCTTCGCTCATCGCATGTCAATTAAAATCACAATTTTCAATGCAAATCAATCAGGGACTTTTGGACTTGGGCTTAGCTGCGTTCAGCAGTTAAAGTCAACCACCGAACAACAATTGATGTATTGCCCAATGGACTTGTCCTGCCATCAGATGAAACGATCAAAAAGGTGGAGAGTGAATGAGACTTATTTTTTGGCAAACATGTCAGACCGTTTACAGATGACAAATTCATTTTTAACACGACACAAAAGTGAAAACCAACTGGGAAAATATGTTTTCATATGGTCGTGTGTGTATGTGCTCATCGAAAAGCTCACAATGGGACATTGCAGGGCAGAATTCCCTGAGAGTCGCTTATGTGGTCTGTCTGACATTTGACTGTTGTCGCCCTCTCGGACAATCTTTGTGTCCTTCGGATGTAACATGTGCACCTCGCCTGTATCTCATTCAGTGATAGATAGCAAATACAAAATTAAAGATTCGCCTTTAGTCTGCATTAAACGGAAGCTTAGCCCAAAAAAGGTCAAGTCCAGAATGATGGATGATGCTGTGACACTCGCTCACACTCGCAGATTCTCATACCATCATATACATATATAGAGAAGCATCCCCAAGTGACATCTTTTGCTCTTTTCGCCCTATTCAAAAATTTGCTGCCTGGCGTTTTGGGGTTGCAAATGCTTCGAAGTTCTTCGATACTTCCAGTCTTTATCACAGGTAGCCAACTTAATATCCGCTTTAAAAATATCCCATAACTTTTGCTATCTCTCCGCTCATCGCATAAATAATAACTGTTAACATTGCTCAACAAGCCACAAATTAAAAACTACAAGGAGCACTAAAAAAGATGGGAAGTTCTTGAAAATTTACGAGCACCGGAATCACGTGTCAACCACGCGCGTTCTCGGTTTCAGTTTCAGTTTCAGTTCCAGTTCCAGTTTCATCCAACCCCC